AGCTCGTCACAAGACGCTGATGGATGTCTTATCTGCCGCCCTCGAATACGAGTCAGCTACGCTAGCTCTGGCGGGTACAGTAAAGTTAGAACTGTAAAAGAGGAAGGAGACGAAGATAAACTTGACCAGCTCTTTAATATGATAAAAAGCATGACACACAAGAAAACGAAGACCATAAGACCGAATACAAAACCAGAACGCGTCGGCCTTAGGGGAGCAGCTTCGACCCAGAACTTTACCAAAGACCCTCTGATACTAATAGCTTCTTTGAAATGTCGTGAAGATAGTGTATATGTAGATGGAGAAATAAATGGTAAAAAGCATACGTTGTTGGTGGATACTGGAGCGACCAGAACCATTATACGTCCGACAGATATAAACAGCCGAAAGAAACTGTTACCAACGAGGTTGCGACTTCGGACCGCCACAGGTGAAAATGCCAACATTCACGGAAAAATCCAGATACAATTAGGAATTGGAGCAGAAAAGTTCGTCCATACTGTTATAGTTGCTGACATCGAAGAGGATGGTACTTAGGAATGGACGTAATGAATACGCATGGATTCCAATTGGATTTTAAGAATAAGGTAATCAAAGTTGGTAACGAGGAGGTATTTTTCCATCCACATGATGACAACACTATGCAAGCAGCCGTTAAAGAAGATACAGTCGTGCCTGCGAAAAGTGAAACGATAATAGTAGCGCGGCTACAGGGAATTGTGGACGAAGGAACACATGTTATGATGGAGCCTTGGAATCATGACGACGAAGTTGGCCGTGGAATCATAATTGGAAAGGAATTGGTTACTTCGGCTAAAGAAATTCCTGTGAGACTTATTAATGTCAATGACTACCCAGTGACCATCAAGAAAGAGACAAAAGTAGGAACTTGTGTACCTGTCACATCCATAATCCATCAGACGACAACGTCTGATAATTCCAACGATAAATTTGATCAAATGGTTGCGGTTGCTGGACAGTCTCTGAATCAGATTGAGAAAAGGAAATTAAGGGAATTTCTTCGGCAGTATCGTGATATTTTCGTACCGAAAGGAGGAAAGACGGGAAGAACTACCGTTGTTAAGCATAAAATTGATACTGGTAATGCTAAGCCAATTCGTCAAACAGCTCGACGATTACCACAGGCGAAAAGAGAGGAAGCTGAAACGATTGTTCAGGAAATGAAGAAAGACGGGGTGGTAGAACCTTCTACGAGCCCATGGGTCTCTCCGGTGGTCCTGGTTAAGAAGAAAGACGGAACAACGAGGTTCTGTGTGGATTACCGTTTGCTGAACAACGTTACCAAGAAAGATAGTTATCCTTTGCCTCGGATCGATGACACATTAGACACATTGGCTGGAAGTAAATTATTTTCTACTTTGGATTTGAAGTCTGGATACTGGCAGTAGAAATGGATCCGGTAGATAAAGAAAAGACAGCCTTCACCACAGGATCTGGATTATGGCAATTCAACGTTATGCCATTTGGACTTTGTAACGCACCTGCGACATTTGAGAGGCTTATGGAAAATGTGTTGAGAGGGTTATCTTGGAAAACATGCCTAGTTTATCTAGACGACATAATCGTCTTGGGGGAGACATTTGAAGACCATCTGAAGAATTTAGAAAACGTTTTTAATCGACTTAAAGCTGCCCAATTGATGTTAAACCCCAAGAAGTGCCAGCTATTTCAAGGTAAAGTCAATTATTTGGGTCATATAGTCAGTAAAGAAGGAGTGGCTGTGGATAAGGGAAAAATCGATTCCATTAAGGAATGGCCAAAACCAACTGACAAACATCAAGTGAGAAGTTTTCTTGGACTATGTACTTATTACCGGAGGTTTATTAAGAAGTTTGCAGATATCGCTAAACCATTAACGCGACTTACAGAGGAAGCAAGAGAATACCGCTGGGATGTAGACTGCCAAAATGCCTTTGAGACCTTAAAAAAAGCATTTAATTACAGCACCAATTTTAGGGTATCCACTGCCAGAAGGAGAGTTCATCTTAGATACAGATGCAAGTAATGTGGAATTGGAGGAGTGCTGTCTCAGATCCAAGGAGGACAGGAAAGAGTCCTTGGATATTTTAGTAAAGTTCTCTCAAAACCTGAGCGGAATTATTGCGTCACGAGAAGAGAACTTCTGGCAGTAGTGAAATCAGTAGAGCACTTCTATCAATACCTCTATGGAAGAAAGTTTTTAATCCGAACCGACCATGCCGCCCTTAAGTGGTTGATGCAGTTTAAGAATCCAGAGGGTCAGATAACCAGGTGGATCGAACGACTCCAAGAATATGATTTTAAGATTGAGCACCGGGCCGGAGTTAGCCACCGAAACGCTGATTCTCTTTCCAGAAGGCCATGCCCAGCAGAGTGTTCCCACTGCAACAAAACGGAATCAAAGGAAGCAGCAGTGCTAAGAACGACGGTGATCAACGACGACTGGACGCCTACCAAGATCAGGGAAGAACAAGAGAGAGATCCAGTTATACAGAAAATCCGAAAATGGAAAGAGGAAAACCGTCGACCACCTTGGCAAGAAATATCGAACCTAGGCTCAATAGTTAAGACGTATTGGGCCCAGTGGGACTCATTTATCATGGAAGATGGCTTGCTCAAACGAGTCCTGGAAAATGATGACGGTTCAGAGAAGAGAAGGCAGTTGGTGATTCCAAAGAGCAGAATAGCCGAAGTACTTCGTCAGTTACACGACAGTCCATCAGGAGGGCATTTTGGTGTGAAAAAGACCCTTCAGCGAATTCGGGAACGGTTTTATTGGATGAACAGTTCCGACGATGTAAAAGACTGGTGTAAGAAATGTACTATTTGTGCTACGAGTAACGAACCTTATCGAAAAAGGAGAGCTCCTATGAGACAATATAATGTTGGAAGCCCGTTTGAAAGAATAGCTTTGGACATTGCTGGGCAATTTCCAGAAAGTGATAATGGAGGCAAGTAGATGTTGGTAGTAATGGATTACTTCACTAAGTGGGTCGAGATTTACGCAGTTCCATACCAGAAGGCCGCCACCGTTGCAGATAAGTTGATCCAAGAATATATCAGCCGATTTGGAGTGCCTTTGGAGATCCATAGTGACCAAAGCAGGAACTTCGAAAGCGATTTATTCCAAGGAATATGTGATAGACTAGGTATGAAGAAAACAAGAACTACGGCTTATCATCCGCAACCGGATGGTATGGTAGAACGAATGAATAGAACAGTTGGCAAGTATTTGACAAAGATGGTGTCCGATCATTAGCGAGACTGGGACCAATATCTTCCGTTCTTCACAATGGCCTACAGATCTGCTGTTAATGAATCAACAGGCCAGACACCAGCCAGAGTCCTATTCGGACGCGAGATGCGACTACCTTGTGATCTAGAGTTTGGGTGTCGACCCGGAGAAGATGTAGCAGGTGAAGATTATGTGATCGAATTACGAAGAAGAATGGACGATGTACACAAGTTGGTCCGTTCCCATCTCCAAATCGCTAGTGACCGAATGAAGAAACGGTACGATACACAAGCCGAAAAGGGGTGTTTTAAGAAGAACGATAAAGTCTGGCTTTATAACCCCAAAAAGCGAAAAGGTTGTTCTCCCAAATTGCAGCAGTTTTGGGAAGGTCCATACCTCATTATGGAGAAGATCAATGATGTTATTCACCGAATAAGCAAGATTCCGAGAGGAAAGCCGATGATAGTACACCATAACCGGTTGGCGTCTTTCGAGGGTGACCACGACGTAGATGAAGAAGTGGAAGTAAACCAAGTCCAAGATGTGTCTGACCTCACGTTTGAGGAATTCATGGGTGCCTATGGAGGTACCGGTAAAGCAAGACATGGTGTTACCACTGAAGAAAGGCAAGATCTACTCGCGCTTCCCAATGACTACTCACTGGCCCTTACCATCCCGGCCAGTATCAAAGATGCACCAGGGTTGGCATCCGTCTTTCGAAGGAAGTTTGGTCGAGTTGCACAACTTCAATGCCAAGTGCCAGCTCTTGGTAAAACCTTGAAACTTAAAGATGCATCACGTTACCTTTTCTACCTGGTAACAAAAGACACTGCCCGTGACCAACCTACCTACCGAGATGTATGGGAAGCCTTACTTCAGTTGAGAGAGCACGTACTAGAGTCCGACGTGCAAAAGTTAGCCATGCCAAAGTTGGAGTGCCGCCAATTAGATTGGAGGGTTATACGAAACATGGTGGAGGAAATCTTTAAAGACACCGAAGTCCAGGTGTTAGTCTGTTGCAATCCGCATAGTTACTGGTGCGTAGAGAAAACCGTCCCTTGTCATTTCTATACAACTGGAAGTTGTAAAAGAGGGTCCAGTTGCCGATATCAGCATGTCGTTCCAGATCCAGTCCCGACAAGGTTCCAGGTGGAACCATCTTTTAAGAGGGGGGCAATGTTACGATTTTAAATGTTATGGCCTATAGAACTGTAAATATTTTATGACTAATTCTTTTTTATTGATTCTCGTAATTTGTAGGTCAAAATCTACCTGAGCTTCGATACCAGTTATTTACAGAAATATCTAGACCCTTCTACAAGAAAGGTCGAGTATTCAGGTAACCATAAATGCAGTCGACGGCCGAGAATGAGGCACCTAATGGATGGAAAGATCGATGCCTAGCCAGATTTCTCTAGATAACGGCATTTTGATGTATAAATAACGGTGATCCTCATTGAGGGGCAGTCAGTCATAAGAAGCTCGGGAACCGCGATATTGAAATGTAACGAAACATAAATTATTATTTGTAATATAAATTAGAATTAATAAAGACTTTAATAAATTCGTAATTAGTTATCGTGAGTTTTAATAAATTAGAATATAGACAATAAATTAGAATAAAGACAAATAAATTAGAACTATATAAATATACAACAATATATATATATATATATATATATATAATATATATATATATATATATATATATATATATATATATATATAATGTAACCTATAAAAGAGTATAAAATGTGAAACTTACTTAAATCCTTGTTGACTCAAATGTGTTTGCGAATATTGGGTAATCTCCATTTGGGGTACAATATACTCCTCAAAATCTCTTCGATTTATAGTTCTTGCTTCATGATTGATAATAATGTTGTCGTTTTGTATTAGATTTGCTTCAAGAAATTCTTTTCTAAAATTTCCATAGTTATAATTAAAACTACTCACGCTCAAATAAAAATTAATCTTAATTCATGAAATCCATATTATTTTATATTTTTGGAAAAGACAGCAAATATTTGATATTTTTCATTTTATTTGGATATGCTCTGTGTGAGTACGAGAAACAGATTTCGCTAAGGATTTCTGTTTAGTTGTAAGAGACATGTCGTGAAATGCAAATTTTAGATTCCCTATGTCCCTTTTAACATCTTTTATCAACGTCTGTTTGCCTTGCAATTTTTAGAATGCCCAGATTATAAGCAGAAATCTGAATTGTGTTTGGAAACTATTTTATGGATTTTATTATTAGATGTCGCTATCGCGTCTGTATTGAAGCCATTTTAGTGTTGCTTCTTAAAAGACAGAAAATATTGATTTTTCACGTTAAGAACACCTATGAATAACTGTTCTGATGAGACCTATTAGGTCGAAATACGTATCAACAGATACATAGGAGGTGTTTGCGTGAAATCAAATGTTTGCTGTCTTTTTCATTTTAATTTAGTATTAGTTTATACCTGCTATAAACTATTAGTGTTAAAGCCAGTTATCTAGATATAAGCCTAAAGCATTAAGGAGAAATATTTGATATACTGAATTTTATTTGCCTACTCCTAACATGTTTTCTGGTAATACAGTATCTCTAAATATTTGCTAATAAAACTTTACCTATTATGAAATCTTCGAACAGGAGAAAGATCAGGCTTTATAAAATATGTGTGTAGGTAAGTAGGGTAAGCTATACAGTCATTGGCCACCATTAGCTAGTGGCACATTGTCGGTTTTTTACATTATTTTAAGAATATAACGAAATTTACTGACAACTGTTATTATTTTATGATAGAGGCAATCATGTAAAAAATAGTATCTAACTTCATTTTATTGCACTACCTAACTTAAAAAACTTATCGACCAATCTGTCAGATGTGTGCTATGTATCAACATTTTTTATCAAAAATACTTAAGAATCATAAAAACCGCCAGTATTGGAAGAAAGGATATTTTATAAGGTATATTTTGTTAGTTAAAATTTATAGTTTTAAGTTGTTTTATTATGTTTAAATTGACTAAATATAAGTCAATAATTGCATAAATTACATCAATCACTCGTTCTATTTTTTTTATATTAGGCAGTTATTGGCCACCTGGACATTCACTGTAAAAATACATTTTATTAATAATATGTTAGGTTTAGTGATTGGCACATAGGTACATAGAGATTGTTTTTGTAGATGCCAAAGTAAAAGAGGGTGCACAATACGAAAAAAAAATATACCGAAGAACATGTTTTGCTTGCGTTGAAGGCCTTTGAAAATGGGAGGTCACAAAAAAAAACTTCTCAAATATTTAAATTACCACGTCAAACTCTTCAGTTTCGAAAATGATAAGTTTACTTGTAAGGATATATATAAGGATATAAATAAGATAACTTTGGAACCAAGCAGTATTTTGATCAATGAGGACCAAACTATTTTAGAATAATGGATATTGACAAGTTACAAAAAAGGATTTCCAGTTAGGAAAGTAGATATTCAAGCTTCTGTTAAAGAATTTTTAGATTCAAAGCCACGTAAAAATCCATTTAAGTACAATTTTCCTGGAGAAAACTGGTATCGAGGCTTTCTAAAGCGACATAAAATTTTAATTTACCGAACACCAGAAGCAGTTACTTCGGCCCAAAAAATTTTAAAGTTATTGCGCCTTGTGGAGCACGGAATGTTTATGAGGTAGATTCTGGTCAAGCAATAATGAATATCACCGTGATGTTTACCTTTTCGGCATCTGGTAACTGATCCGATGCTTATTTATCCGTACAAAAGACTTCCGACTTCTTATATTTAATTCAATGCCTTTTTCTTGGATAATTAAACATAGTGATAATGGTTGGATGAATGTTGGGTTATTTTAAGAGTACATTGGTAATGTTTTGTATCCATATTAAAAAAATGGCACTACTTTTCCAATAATCCTTTTTGTAGATGGCCATTCTACACATCAAATACTACTAAAGTTGAGTCAACTGTATACCGAACTACAGATATTTTAATATTGTTGTATCTCAACGCAAAGCGGTTAATGCAACAAGCAGATGTTGCTGCATTCAAACCGTTAAAAACAGGTTGGAAAAAAGCAGTGTTAGAATTGAGAAAAAAAAATCCTCATGAAATTCAGACTAAAGAAAAATTTGTACCTGTCCTGAAAGGTGTCATAGAAGACTACGCAAAAGCTGAAACTATAAAAAATGGGTTTAAAGCAAGTGGATTATATCCATAGAAAGTATCAGGTATAGACTTTACCAAATGTCTGGGAACAAAAAAGGAAACTAAGATATGTTCAAAAGAAAAACGTAAAGAAAAAAGGTTCACCTAATATTCCGTTTATCTCTTTCAACCTATTCAAAGAAATAGTTGGCAAAGAGAGAATACCCATATTAAAAAAAAATCAGTTTGACGAAGCAAGTCATGAGGAGTTTCTTTTTTTGTATAAATTATATAAAGAATTTGAAAAAAGCAATAGCCATCTTAATAGGAAAATTTGTGACGATTTAGAAAATCTAGAAATCAGTAGAGCAGTGGACACAGAAATAGAAAATATGGAAATTATCTTCGAAGAAAATATACTTTTTGGACTAGATGTAAATGAAGAGGAAAAAAGCAATCAACATTTATCACGTGACAATTATTTCGAAGAAACTGTGGGGATAGGTAAAGGATTACAAAAAAAATGTAGCACAAGAAGGGCATATAGAAGAATTACTTATAGAGGAAAATAAAAAAGAAACTCGGCCTTTACCAGAAGCTATGTAAACAAATGATTTATTAGAAGAAATCATAACACAGGAAAAATCTGTACAAAAATTACCTAATAAGAAAAATAAAGAAGAAACAGAGCCTTTAGAAAAAACTTTGCCGACAAGTGATATATCAAAAGAAATTTTAACCCAGGAGGTGCCTACAGTTAAAGAATCATTTATAAAGGACAATAAAGAAAATTCCCAAAATAATAGAAGCATTCGAGATTTCGTTATTTGGCCTACAACACCAGAATAAAAACAAAAAAAGGATTGCCAACGATTACCGTCTATTTTAACTAGTTCAGGATAATTCAGATAAAGAAATTGGCAAATAAAAAATAAGAACAGGAAAGAAAAGAAACACGTTAAACAGAAAGTTTATTAATACAAAAAAAAGCTAGAAAAAAAATTGGGAGAAGAAATATCAAAACAAGAAAGCAAGAAAACGATACAGTGAAAGAAAACAAAAATGAAACTAAATCTAAAGGAGCGAAACTGGACATTGACCACCTGAATAAATACGATAATGCAGCAGAGACAAGCGGATTAAGCAATAATACAAAAATACTTCAACGTCACGAAAAATAGCTGTCGGAAAACTTTGTTTTATTTGTACGAAAAATATTACAAATTCAAACAAAGGTATCCGATGCTACAAGTGCGGCCGAACGTATCATAATTTGTGCATTATAAAAATTAGTCCTTTAGTAGATAAGGACAAATATTTTTATTGTAAGATTTGTGTTGTTGTATAAATAAAATCTTTAAAAAAATTGTTTTTATTATCTTAACAATAATATATAATAATATCCAGAAATAAATGAATTCTATCATACAGATAGGTATCTACCTATCGTAGTCATAGGATCATAATAATATGATTTTTCCGCAAATCGCCAGGAAATTTTGACATTTCTGTCAAAATTTCTTGAAGAAAAAGTCAGGACTTCCTTACTGTAAGGAAATGTCATTTCCTTACTGTAAGGAAATGATATTTCCGTACAGTTGTTAGTGTTCTACATAAGTTTGACAATTCAACCTCAATACGTTTCCATAGTAACCCAAGTAATTTTATAAGGAATTTCAAAGCACCATTTGTTTTCCTACCCGGTAAACAATGTACTATACCTGTGCCAATTACTAGTATTCAACTGGCCAATAATTGAAAGTTAGTGGCCCATCTTTGAATATTTTACAAATAACAAAATGTTTAAAAATTACAAATAAACATTGAATTAAATGGCGAACCTATTTTTTAAAATCATTTATCAATAAACTGAAGAAAAAAATAATATTACGGGTACTGTAAGCGAAATTTTATTAAAAAAAAATTAAATTAACTGCATCCAGTTTCTTAACTGGCCAACCACTGTATATTTACCCGAGGTGAACGAATTCCACCGAACATATTATTTATTATTTGTTTGTGTGGTGTGTTGACCAAAGTTATTTTTTATTAACTGTTAATACCTTTTTTTGTATTTAGTCTAAGAACCTAATTATTTCTCTTTATCTAGTTTCGTTTCTCAGGTTTTTTAATTTTCTCCTTGTAACTCCAAAAAGTTAAGTATCACTGTTCTTCTTATATTCTTTTATCTTTATTATTTCTTCTGTTGGATCCATTCCCGGTTTTTTTCTAAGGGTGGAGGAGTTACCACCCTGGATTATTCAATGTATGACTACACAAATATAGAAACACTATATATGCCAGTGTTTAATTATCTTTAAGATTTTTATTTTTGTACTTGTTACCGTACTTTAAAATTGTATAAATAAATATAATATAATATAAATAATATAAATAAAATAAATTTATTTATTTTTAAAAATCCGTTTTCAGCTTTGATTTTTTTTAATTGTCGCAGTCAGCAGTATGTTTCAAAAGTTTATCGTATTTTTGATTTAACGCCAATTGTGATTGGCTGACAATAAATCCGTTGAGAAAGAACTAAACAATTTATTAAATTGTTTTCTGTGCTCTGGGCAGTCGAAATTTGCAAATATCAAAAGATTTCAGCAAAAGCTTGTTATTGCTCTGATAAAATGGAAGCCATATATTATGTCATTGGAGCACAAATCACTCAAACCTTTTGCGTTTGAATAGGTATCAATAGAGCAGTATAGGAGTTATATAGATGTAGTCCCCACCTAATCATTTCACTCGTTCTTGATACCAACTAAAACTATGAAAAGTTTAACTAATATCAGCTACAAAATATTTCTCACGTTAGTGGTTACGTCACAGAGGTGCCACCTGCTTTGGTGACGAAGAAACCAAAGTTTTGTTTTTTTGATAACATGAAAGCCATATAATATGCCATATAAAAGTATTTTGAAGACATTAGTTAAATCCTTCGTATTTGAGTTAGTATCAAGCCCGAGTGAACTAATGAGGTGGGCTGATGGCTATTAATACCGATTTAAACGCAAAAGATTTGACCAATTTGTGCTGCAATGCCATAATATATGGCCTCCATTTCATCAGAGCAATAGTAGCTTTTGTTAAAAACCACTATTATTTGCACAATCCGATAGCCCAGAGGACAGAAAACAATTTAATAAATTGTTTACTTCTTCACCACCAAAAGACGTGCCACCAAAGCAGGTGGCACGTCTACGCACTAACCACTAACGTGGGAAGTATTTGGAGAAAAATTTTGAAAAATGTATAACGAAAGTTTTTGTATTGGTTAATAAAAAAAAACTTTGGTTATACATTTTTCAAAATTTGTAAAAAAACGAAAATCGAAACTTCAAATATAAGTTATTAAAAAATGTGAATATTATCACAACAGGAATCAATAATTGTGGCTTAATCCCACAAAAACATATTATTTAATCCTTTTTTGTTTTGTTTTTGCAGATCAATTTCGCCTTACCGAATTACTTTACGGTCAGTATGGGTCATCAACGTATAAAATAAAAAAAAAATAAATTATTTTGTAGTAGTCGTAAAGCACAATAATATGATTTTTTCAAAATGACATGAAAAATTAAGGTAAATATTAGATACAGTAAAAATGATTGTTCATCTAAAAATGATGGTTTACCCTTAAATAGACGTTTAAAAACCGAATTTACCGGAATCATTCTTTTGCATATCTACCGCAAACAATCTTTTTTATTTTTCTAAGTGGGTCGGAAATTTTAATTAAAAAATAACTTATTACAAAAAAATTTTCCGGATCGCTTCAAGTAAATTTCTTTAGTGGTATCTTATACGACTAAAAAAATAATATAATAATAAGGTCAATACTATTTTTTTGTTTGTTTGTATTTTTTTTGTTGCCTTAATTGTGATTTTTGGGATTTGTTTTCTAAAAAAGTATTTAATGAATTACAGTTCTACAAAAAGCTTTATAATCTTTAAATCTTCACGTATAAGTAGGAACATTTTGATAAGGCTAAGTGGTTCTAAAAATCCATTTATTCTTGTAAAATATTCTTACTTGTATTTGAAGCTTTTTATAGAATTGCAATCTATTTAGCAACAATAACCGAAAAGTCACAAATAAAGGCATTTTTTCAACATACAAATGCTTACTTTTCGAAGCAAATACCTCGAAAAGTAAACATTTTTTGAAAAATTACCCCGACAAAAAAGTATTTATTTTGATGAGATACGCCTAAAAAATTTTACTCTAAGCGGTTTGGAAAATTGTTCTTTTGTTTTGAGTTGTTTTTGTTAATAACAACTTCCATGGACGTGGACTGTCTATAGATCATCAGAGAATACAACAATCATATGGGTCGTGTTGATTTTATGTAACGTAACGTAAGTCTAACGGCCAAATACGAGTGCAGATACAGGTATGCATGACAAATCTGGAAAAATAATGTGCAAATATTGTTAAAAGTATGATACGCCGAGTCATTACATAAACTGCAATCTGCTTGTATTACAGTTCACTATTTTTAAGTGTTTATTTTTTATCTTGTTTAAATTTTTTTTTTGTATATTTTGTTTATTAAGTGTTTTTGTTTTTGTTTTATAATAACAACTTTTTTTAATATTATATTTTAATTAGGCCTGTTCTAATTTTCTACACTCTAACCATTATAACCGTCTGTAGACGGTCTACTTCCTTTCTCTTCTGGATACCAAAATTTAGTAGATATTAAAAACAGACTGAAATTAATTTTTGTATTACCCAAATTACTCTAATTACAAATTTTCAAATATTTTAAACCAATTATAAAAAAACTTCACACCGAAAACTTTTACAGAAATCCATCGTCAGACCTGTAATAACATACGGATGCGAAACGTGGACCATGACCTAAGCAAACGAGAAAAAGCTCACTTTGGACGAAAAATACTTAGAAAAATCTTAACTTAAACCAATATCGAATTAAAAGCACTCTACAATGACGCTGATATTGTCCAAGAAATTAAATTACAGCGACTAAGACGGGCACGCCACGTGCACAGACTACATAACGAGAGACTTGTAAAACTGGTATGGGAGGAGATTCTCACATGCAAAAGACCACTCTTTTGCGAGAGATAACATCCAATCCAGAAAATGAACATTCCATTTGACCATAGGTTGATGGAAGACCGAACAAATTGGAAAAACGTTGTACAGTCAGCCAAGACCCACCTAGGATTGTATCGCTACGTGATGATGATGATGAAGTATAAAAAAAATTTTGGAAGGTTTATAAAGATAATAATTGTTAATTAAATTATCGAACCTTAATGTTTTAGCTGTATTATACCGATATGGATCATTCTCATAATAAGCCATTTTGGTACGCATTAGGAAATCCTCTTTATCTGTGTTAATTGTAATTTTCACGTCATCATAATCGCCGCAATGAAGAATTAAAGTTGAAGATGGACTATTAGGTGACTTACTGGATCGTCTTGATTTAAGTATACCATAATCAATTTTAACAGGCATTTTCATTTCACTTGAGTATCTGGAATACAGTTTAAAAATATTTTAAAAGGATAACTTATTTATGCATCAGAATGGACTGGAAAATACTCATTCGTGTAGCATGTACAGAAAAGCCTAATTATTTGTATAAAATGACGTAAAATTATCAAACAATGTTCATTAGTTCGAGTTATTACATACAATATCATTGTGATTGAAATAAAAGCGAAAACAGCGTTTTATTTAATATAGTAAAAAGCGTAATTAAGTAAAAAAATATTTAAACAATAATTTCCACCACAGCAAAATCATTGATAAATTAATTAGCACATTGGAAAATTTAGTTAACACATTGGGAAACTTAGTAACTAATATGCTAGATTATTTAAGAAACAGCTGAAGTCAAGGTTTATTTGTATCACTAACTCTGAAAATAAATATTTACTTCATGCAGTTTTTAATATTATCATGCCATAATAGTTTTAAAGGCTTTTAGTTTCTGATAGAGGACACAGTTATTTAACTATATAATGAGATTAGATCAAAATTACCATAGATAATGATAAAGCCAGGAAATGAAACAGAAAATGTACAGTGCTGACGTCTTATTAGTCATCTACCACTATTTTTTAATGTTTTGAAAAAGCTGACACTGACTAGACTAATGCCTATACTAGCAAACAAAATAAATTAAACCATAACACAAAATGGGGTTCATAAAACAATATTCAACAATACAACAGGTATACAGAGTACTGCTTAGCGGTATTCCTGCATATAAGTTACACATTTGATTAAATCTGGTATAAAAGTCTCTTATCTAAACTAAAGCAGAATTTACCAACAAATTACCATCTAATTTTACTAACATAATCATCAATAAAAAAATTTCAGAGAAAGTAGGAGAATGACTACACAAGAATGCAGTAAAATGCTTGCTGAACTACCCTGGGGAAACTTTTCTATGACTCATATGTTACCCTGTACTTACTGTAGAACTACCGAGAGATACTGATGCAGATGATACAGCAATACTATCATCTAACACAAATTTTAAAATAGCCTCAGAAATTTAAAAAAATAACTTAAATAAAATACAACATTAAATGACAAAATGGAGAGTCAAATTAAATGAAAAAAAATTAATACACCTTACATTTGCCACCCATCGGTCAACATGTTCGACTGTATACGTAACCGGTAAAGGAACCCCACAAGGTAATGAGGTCAAATATACAGTTATGAACTTGGACAGAGGATTTACCTGGAGGAAGCATAATATATTTATTTAGCGAAAACAACAGGGTCATAAGTTGAAGAACATGTATTGGTTGTTATAAATAGAGTTTGAAGGCCTATTTTGCTACTTTGTGTAACAATTTTTTTTGACGTATTAATTTATTTCAGAATTATAACGAACATTTGTAATTGAACATATACAATTGAGAGCAAATATTCTTTAGAGGAACCCTTTAACTAGTTTGAAAATATTTTTGTATAAATTTGTGGTGATAAGCTAAGTGGCGTCAGGTATGTTTTTGACTAACCAAACTCATATAAATGTTACCAAAAATAAAAAATTATTAGAGTAGTGATACAATCTCTTACTTATCCAAAGAGTCAGTTCGATCAGGAAAAAGAGATTCAATTTCCATTCTTCGTATTCTTTCCATTTCTACCGTTTGCCATTCTTTATATGTTAAAGGCCAAGAATTATCCAAAACAAATGCTTCAATTATGTAAGTCATTTCATTATTATCATCAATGGACAATTTTGGTAAACTTGATGGTTTTTTTTGGATTACAGTTGGTTTGCCTTTGGATGACAGGTGAGAATTTTTGCTATCGGCTAAAAAATAAATTTAAATGCATAGTGACTCACAAAATAGATGCCGAAATTTACACATTTTACTTTATAATAGAAGATATAAAGACATTTATTTCTAAACTACAGAGTACTCATTAAATTTTTCAATTAGAAATATATTTTGTTCACAATTTAGCTATTTTTCTCGATATTCAATTAGAAAAAACTGTAGCAGTTTTAATAAAGACAAGTAGAAGGATATATTGTTAGCTTTGAATTAATTTGATTTCACTTTAATTTATAGTGCACATAGTAGATACAATTATAAAATTGTTTAAATTTTAAAATATAAATTGGCCCCGCCGGCCGAATACTGGTGGCCCTCCGACAGCAAAAATAATACTCTTGTACATTCGAAAACTATTGAATTCTATTCCAGAATAAAACCAAAAAAAAAATGTTCGAAAAGTAATTTGAATCTCGCGCGCGCTATTTAAATCTAGTGCCCAAAAATGCTAAGTCAAGTAACATGGGTGCCAGGGAAAAAGAGTATAAGTCACAAGTTTACAGTTTGGTAAAAAGAACATAAGTCTTATTTGCTTTAAAATTCTATTTTATCCATTCGGTCGAAACAATATAACTATCTAAGCCTGATACAATTAGTACAAGTCAACTTATACTATGAAGATAACTTTTTATGTCTGAACAAACTGACTTATACTCTTAGTACCTAACCTAAAAATTATTTAAGCGTTGCGTTTATGATTGTTTATATGCAATTCGAAAACAAAAAAGTAAAAAAAAAAACTACTTAAAAAAGTATACTGATAAGCAATGGCTAATCCAAGAACCAAAAGAATGTTGGAACTTTTGAAAAACAACGGTAGGTTGAAATATTTATAACTTTATAGTTCGTTTTTGTTATTTATCTTATTGTAGGGTTAGAAATTATAAGCTTGTTTCTTGTTAGATAATAATATCGGGATACAGACTGTTAGAATTTTAAACGTATAATTGAGATTTTTTATAGTATTCAAATATTTCAAAATCAATAAATTTGATAAATACTTTTAGACGAAGGCAAAAACCAAATCGGTGAAAGTTTTTGTTTTTCTTCTGGATTACATATAGAGCAGGAGAACACTGTTGTTAAAACCACTGATATTACTCTTTGAGATATGGATTTACAATAATTGCTTTCTACTACAGCGGGATTGAGGAATGAAAACACGAATTTAGATGCTGTTCCAGGTAAAACATTTTTGTTCTGCTTCATATAAAATGAATTAATTATATTCACTTTTAGGTACTTCAAAAGACCCTATTAATACTACCAGTGAAATAGATAGACCGAGACCATCTGATGATAGTGACCGTATAAGGATTATGTTGCAGAATCAAGTGATGAAAGTGAAGATAACCCAGAAGTATTTTAAGTAAGTACGAGCCAAAAGAAACAGAGAAGGTGGAAACATAAATTGTATGATGCAGCTAAGGCAACAGTAGAATATGAAATTAAAAAAAACTAAAATTACTACACAAAAAGGAGCATTAACAAGAGAGAAAAGAGCAGAACGAAAACTGAAAAGAAACATGGGAGAAAGTTATGTGACTGCTAAAGGCAAAGTGGTTAAAGGAAGAATGTCAACTCCATTAAATGACTGTAGGATGAAATGTAAAGATAAGCTAGAAATAAGACTTGACAATGAACTAACAGTAAGGGAACATATATTTAAACAATACTGGTCTCTTGCGGATAGAAATAAAAGAGTAAGATTTATTGCTGGGTTAGTAGACACTACTGAACCTGCGTCATCTAGGAATAGAACCACAGACCCAGAAAAAGAAAAAAAATCGTTTAAAAACTCATCGTTTTCATTTTGTTGTAAACAATGAACGAATTCATGTATGCAGAGGTTGTGTCATGAAGGCTCTAGGCGAGACTCAAATGTTTGTTACTTTAGCACTAATAAATAAATGTTCAACCCTATCTGGGATAACATATGACGATAAGAGAGGTCGTGAGGCGTCTGCTAACAACCTTAGCACAGACAAAATAGAAAAAGTTAAAAGTCATATTTTGTCTTTTCCTCTTTACAAATCCCACTATACACGAAGAGAAAGTACCAGGCGATATCTTCCACCTCACCTAAATCTACGAATTATGTTCGAACTTTATTTTGAACAAAATAAATCTAAAGAGAAACCACTGTCAAGGCAGATTTACGAACGAGAATTTCACAAAATGAACCTAAGCCTTAAAGATCCTAAGGTCGACACTTGTCACAAATGCGATTTGTTAGATATGAAATTAAAGATATCTACACCGGAAGAAAAAAGCAATATAGAACGTGAATTAGCTGACCACTATCAGGAGGCTGACAATGCTTACCTTGAAAAAAGAAACGACAAAAATATGGCCAAAGACGATGAAATAATGCGATGCTATACATTTGAATTACAGCAATGTCTTCCTACTCCAATGCTAAATACATCTGTTGCATTTTATAAACGACAGCTATGGACCTACAATTTAACTATGCATGAAACTAGTACAGGTAATGTCACATGTTACAAGTGGCATGAAGCTGAAAGTGGTAGGGGAGGAAATCAAATAGCTACAAGCATTTACAAAGAACTAATTTCCCTTCCTCCACAAGTAAGCAAAGTAATATTATATTCTGATACTTGTGGAGGACAAAATAAAAATTCTCATGTTGCTGCAATGTTTCTGGTTGCTATGCAAACTAATCAGAATCTAACTTATATAGATCATAAGTTCCTCATTAGTGGACACACTCACATGGAATGTGATGTTGATCACGGTCTGATTGAGAAGCAAAAAAAGAAATTACAAATTCCTATTTCTCATCCATATGATTGGTACCAACTTGTTCGTTCTGTCGGAAAAAAGAAGAAATTTAGCGTGGTAGAATTAACCCATTCAGATTTCTTAAATTTTGCCGATCTTCTTAAATCGGACCTACAGCTTAGGAAAAAAGACAACGAAGGAAATTTATTTAATTGGCACTCAGTCAAGTGGTTTCGCTTTACTCGCGAATATGGAAATGTTTATTTTAAACAAAGTTTAAGACATAATGTTCCTTTTAAGTGTTTAAGTCTTATCCGAAGGGGACATCCAAATGCTCAGCTAAATCCAACCAGATGTTATACCTCTACGTTACCCATTTCAAAAGAAAAGAAAAAATATATATTGGATCTCTTACCCCTAATTATTACTACATTTCATGATCAAGTTTTTAAATTACTTTAATGTTTTTCTGTTTACCTGATAGAGGTCCAAACATTATGTGTTAATTTAGTATAGTGGTCAATATAATATAAGTCGTTAATTTTTTCTAAAGTAGCTTAGATATTACTTTGTTTCAAACTTACATTTAGGTAATATGCTATAGGTTTTTTTTAGTAGATATTTAGTTTAAAATTTTTTTAGATACGTTTTTCAAATAATAAAATGCTATTCCTGTAAAATTAAGATTTTTGACTTATACTCTTTTTTCAGGCAGCCTAGAATTGTGTTGTGAAATCGTAAGTAAAACTCTGTTATTAATTAGTATTTCCCTATTACCGGTTCTACCGGCTCTTAATTTAATCAAATTTAGCTTTAATGTTGGCCAAATATTAAAATAAAACAAAGAAATTACTATTTTTATCAGAATTTCTTCAATTGTAATAATTACGTCATTATTTCAGATATAAAATCTGTATAAAAATCTTAAAATTTCTTAGGAATAATATTAAATCAATTATTTTTAATAATTAAAAAAAGGATGGGTATTTTAAGTAGGTCCTGTAATTGTTTTCAGATGCTGTGTTAATCCTAGCCAGGATTAGAACGCAACATGGAGAGGCCAGGACCTAGTAAAAAACGTAAAGATGAAAATTGGCAGTTTCAAGAAATTTGGACTGAGAAATACTTTTTTGTATGGTCGCATTACAAAGTCGTTTGTTTAATTTGCAAGAACTATTTTGCGATTGCAAAGAAATATAATGTAAAAAGGCACTATAAAACGCAGCATCCTTCTTTTATCAAGTTTACAGGCGAATTAAGAAAGCAAAAAATGTTGTCTTTAAAACGGGAGCTTATTGGTCAGCAAGCTATGTTTACAAAACCCATTCAAGATTCAGAAACAGCTACAGAAGTTAGTTATGAAATTTCTCGAATGATAGCAAAGCGAACTCGCCCCTTTAATGATGGCGATTTTGTAAAAGAATGAATAGAAATTGCCGCTAAGAAAATTTGTCCAGAAGCATCAAAAAAGTTTGAGAAAATTCAACTGAATCGTATGACTATCCAAAGACGAATCATATTTTTGTCAGGTAATATTGCGCAACAATTAATTGAAAAAACTAAGATCATTGAATTTTTTTCATTAGCACTCGACGAATCCACTGATATTAGTTCCACAGCTCAACTTCTCATATTCATACGAGGTGTTACTCAAGATTTTGAAGTCTTAAAAGAGTTATTAGAAATGTGTTCATTGAAAGGCCAAACCAAAGGAGTTAATATACTTAATGTTCTTTTGGATGAGTGTTCAAAAACTGATTTGGACTTATCAAAATTATCGGGAGTTGCAACTGACGGTGCTAGTTCGATGATTGGTGTCAATTCAGGGCTAGTTACTTTGCTGAAAAGGCATCTGCAAAAAAAAAACATAAACGCTGAACATCTTATGCAGTTTCACTTCATTATACACCAAGAAGCCCTCTGTTCTAAAAAAAATAAATTTCAAAATGTCATGAAAGTGGTAGTTTCGATTGTAAATTTCATAAAATCACGAGGACTCAATCACAGACAATTCAAACAATTCCTTGATGACATCGAAAGCGAATACGGAGATTTACTGTATTATGCAGAAGTAAGGTGGCTAAGTCGTGGATTGACACTGGAACGATTTCTAAATTTAATAGAAGAAATTGAAATATTTTTGGCGAAAAGGCAAAAGGAGGTCCCGGAACTTAAAATTCCTGATTGGTTGTGTGATTTGGCTTTTTTAGTTGACATTACAAAAAAGGCGAAAATCAACTGATACCTCAGTTCTACGCTCATGTATCATCCTTTTAATGCAAGCTGACACTTTTCAGATCACAGCTGAATTCTGGAAATTACAATAATTTTCCGAATTATAAGAAAGTGGCTGAAAAATTCAACAAAACTGCGATTAATTTCAGTAATATAGAAAAGCTAGATATTTTGATTCAATCTTTTCAAGAAAGATTTTCGGAGTTTAAAAAATAAAACCTCTGTTGGACATATTCAGTAATACTTTCACGATTTTAGTTGAAAATGCGCCAGAGTCAATGCAGTTAGAAATTATCGACATTCAAAACGACCAAGATTTACGCAACAAATTCAACGAAGGAAACTTGCTGAACTTTTGCCGCTGCATTTAAAATATATAATATAATAATGAAATATGTACGAAGAGTTGCGCATAAACGCTCTGAAATGTGCCAGCTTTTTTGGTTCTACCTTTATATGTGAACAAACTTTTTCAATATTAAATAATAATAAAACAAAAAATAGAAACCGCTTTGCAAATGAAAGTTTAAAAACAGTTTTACGTATTGCTACAAGTAAATTTGAGCCAAATATAAAAAAGATTGTAAGCACTATGCAGTGCCACGCTTCAAATTAATAAATTATTTATTATTTTTAATAAGTTATATCAATTCTTTATTGTCTTTAATTACCTATTCTTCTGGCGGCCGGCCCGCCATCAGTTCATGATTTGCCCGAGTGGTCCCTAGTCTTAATAAGTCTGTGCATCCCTGGTTTAGAGGTATCTTTAGGTATTTAATAATATTATTAAATTATTACACGCTAGACGCGGTACTCTTCTTTTTAGCTTAACCGGAAAGTTCTTTCTATTAATAGATACATCTGTAATTATTTATTGTGATTTCTTTTTAGTATATCCCACAAACGCTTTATAGAGCTAAGGTTGAGTGAGTAGCAAGCCACTTCAAAACAGTGATATCTTCTGCTTTTTGTTTTCACTGTTCTGGTATATGGAAGTGTATTACTATGCATCAAAATTTAATTTTCTTCTATTAAATCTCCCCAGAGCCCAACTACACTTCACTTTTTTATCCAAATTAACATACCTGTGAGCTGTTAAAGTTGGTCGAATGAAAATTAAAAAAGTTTTTTCATCGAACAGAATGCCTCACAAAACGATGAAACTTCCTTTATATCTGTGAGCAGATCTGGCAGTTTCATATCTTGCTTTTCTTTCTCGTCTTTTAAGTGCACGAACTCGTTGATTATCTAATTTTACACAAATCATGGTTTTGTTTGAAAATAGCATATTTTGCCAACTATTAATGTTATAGTTTTGGTGTTGGAGGACACCAAATTAGGCGATTAATCGTGTGCTGTCTAGATATTTTGAGGACTCGTAACTGTTAACTACTGTATAAAACTTGGACACGTAATTGTTCTTATTGTTTTAACTAAAACACTTACATTTTTAGCTTTCTAACGTTGCCTTTAAGCTGCGAGTGAGAAATTATCGGGTCTCTTCATGGACAATGAAACAATCGTACTAGCCGTTGTTACTTTTTGTCAACTTTGCCTTGGTCTATTCTTAAGCGTTCCTAATTCCTGATATCTAGCATAGGTTTTTGACAAAACGACCTGTGTTATACAGCTATCACTGCAGCTATGTGTCTCTGAGATACTTTGCTTTGAGCAAAAGTTAGTCGTGGTATCTAATGGATTTTTCGGTTTGTTTACTTTCAATAAAAACTTTTATTCTTCGCAAGTTTTTTCAAAAGAAATAAATAGTCGTTTGAAATATATTGTTATTTCGTATACTTTTGATTGTGTAGATATGTATATTACAATTATATCTTTAACCGTAAACCAAAAAATAATAAATTTTTGGATTTGTAACGTATTAATTCAGCATGATCGACGACGAATGCCATAATTTTTAAGAAAATTTATAATAATGTCATATATCGAATATAATACATATTTTTGAAAATTTTCAAATGATAAAAAGGTTCCCAATATAAGACTATAATACTAATGTATAGGGGGTGAGTTAATACCCACAATCTTAAGTGTTTTTTATTGTTGTAGAATTATTAGACTACAGGTTTCGAGTTTTACAAAATATGCCTTATCATCAGACCACAGTATATAGCCTACGTACTATGAGCTGACGATGGCGCATATATTACATTTTATTACGCTGCATTTTATTACGCAACAATAAAAAACTACTTCAGATTGTTAGTATTATCCCATCTCCTGCTTCTTCTTCGCGTGCCATAACAGAATTATCCGATGTTGGTCATCACCATTACGAAGGCTTCTCGATCTTCTGCAATATCGAATAAGTGTCCCGCATTTGATATTTTGGTCCATTAACAAATGTTTCTTAACCAAGAAACCCGTTTCCTTCCTGCACCTTTACGGTCTTCTATTTTGCCTTTAAGAATAAGTTGCATTATTTTATGTCGACCTTACTCATCTCATCTTATCTCCTAGACAATAATATTTCGAAATTTCTTGTGGCACTAAGTACGTTCTTACTTGTGCAAATTTGTTATCTTCGTTTTCAAAATGACAGCTGTTTATTTTCAATAAGAAAGGTCAAATAAGTTTGGATTATTTCTAATAATTTGATAGCATTCAGATTTTATAGAAAACAAAAATCAATAATTTTGTCCCATTACCAACATTTTGATTTGTTTGATTATTTAACAGCATCTCTAAAAACTAAAAATAAACATATTTAACATAACTTGAAACATAATATCTAGCCAACTTCAAAAGGTACATTTTAACTATTTAGATTTTTTTTAATCTCGCTTTCAAATAAACTTCATTAGTTAATTGACAAAAGTGTAACGATTAAACTGTAACTTTAACGATTTTTAGTCGATTTTCTCGGAAAGCATTTACATATTATTAAAATTAGTTTTCATATGTAACAAACCTTAGTCCTAAGTAACGATTATGTTTATATTAGCTATAAACAAATTGTGTATTATGCTATGCTTACCACGTCTGGATACTTTTTTCGGAGTAACCTGAGTAGAATCCGAGTTAGACATAAAAATTAATTTGCTGTCCAGGATATTTCCAAATTTTTGGCCTCCGCTGTTAGACTTTAATAGGATTAAAGGAATGGTTACTGAACTAGAACCGGAAGTTTCGATTACAACTTGGTTAGGTTGCGACAAGTTTGAGACTTTTAGAAAAATTTTTACTCCCGGATAACTGCTAAATAAATGTAGAGTAATACGAGAGTCACTTTTTACTTTAACTGTGTACCTGAAAGAAAAGAAATAAACAATATTAAGAAACATATGTAAATTAAATGATACTTACTACAGTTAATAAAATTATCAACCTTGTTATACTAAAAAAATTATATTGTTCATTACTAACTTTTAACTGTGCTGTGCACGTGACTAAATCATGGTTTAATTGTGTTTATTCTTAAATCAATAATAAAAAACTTTATAAAACATAAAAAGATAGCCAACACCGAAAAAAAAACTCACAGTATTCAATAAATAAAATTTGGAAAGTGTGAGGCAAAAATCAGTACAATTTTTTTATAAATAGATACTGGCTGCAAACACAAATATCATTGAAGATGAAAACGTGGAGACTGTATACTCAGCGATATAGAAAGCCATTCATAGTGCAGCAAACGAATAGCTAGTAAAAGAAGAAATGTAAGGAAACATTTGACATATCTGATAAAAGACAAAAACAAAGCCTATTAGATGTGGTTTCTTTAAAAAGAAGAAGAAGAAAAAATGACACACGGTAAAGCAAATGCCCTAAAATAGACAGATAGGAGGAATCGAAGCATCCGAAACCAGGAAAACCAAAGAGATTTGAAGAAAAATAAAAAATACTGCAATATAAGTTTGCAGACTGAGGATAGACCAGAATTTATGGTAAAAACTAACTTGAACATCAAGAAAATACTAAATAAATAGAACAAGTTAATAGAAAAGTATATTAAAAGCCTTTAACAGGAATGAAACCATCATGACATGGAGGTATACATATAGATTAAGTTAAATACGGATTAGATCAGGTACTCAAAATTGCATATATTTATCATAAACATTTTATGAAGAAGAAGAGCATCCCAACAGATTAACCGATATTATTCATTAGTTTAATCAATCAAAAAGAATCTGCAAAAAACTTATAGCAATTGTAGAAGTATTAGCGTAGCCAGTTTTATATGCTGTATAATATAATTTTAAAAGAAAGAATTAAACAATATTTGCCTGACATTGAAGAATAAAGCGGTTTTAGTACTGGTAAATTCTCTTTTTTATAATACATTTTGTCAACAACCAGTAGAAAAAAATTTGTATAGAAATTTAAAAACTTACCTTGTATTTATAGATCTGAAAAATGTATACGACAACATTTTAATTAACTTAAAATGAAAATTAAGTTATATAAGGTGCTTCAGAACTAATATTGAATGAACTTGCCAGGAGCCCTGGAGAAGATGTATAATAACCCGATGAGAAGTATCAAAATGGAAAGCCTGTCACAACCATTTAATACATTCATAGGTTTAAAATAAATATGTTGCCTTTTTCTAATCCTGTTTAAAATCTTTAACCAACTAACTCTGGAGATATAAAAAAAGTATTCGAAAATAGGATTTAAAATCGAAGGCACTGCTTGTTTGTCTACCTTACCTTTTTGAGATGACCAGGTAGTAACAGCGAATAATAAATATGACATAGCATTTATAACTAGGAAGCTTATTAAATAGTATATCAAATAGAAGTTTAAGATAAACATAACAAAAACGTAGGATTTCAACAAAACACAAGAAAATGGGATTAAAGATTGTAGTAGCGGATGGGATATGAATAATGTAATTATCTAAGGGCAAGTAGCCATACAACAGTTAAACTTCGTATTACAGTCCAAAAACACAAAGATGTCAACAAAACTAGACTTACATCGAGGCATAGTGGTATCACAATATATGACACAAAATGTTGACAAATTACATAGAGAAATAAGAATAAGGTTAAAGCACTAGGAATATATTTTCTAAGAAGGTCTTGCAGGATTTTTTGAATAAACCGTAACAAAAACGAATAAATTATAGAACGCTGAAAAATAAAATTCCATCGACGACAGAATAGAATTCCGGCAATGAATTTAGTATGGATAAGTAGAAAGAATGACCGATCAATGATGATCTACATACATCCTATCATATGTACAGGGTGTACCAAGATATTTTTAAAGACATGTAATTAAGGAAATAATGAATATTAATTTGAAAATTAGGAAATGTCAATTGTACCTACAATACTATCAATTGATTGTATACCTGAGATCTAATACGTCATTACGGGTGCTATAATGTTATTATAATAATAAAAATTACATGGATCAGAGGGTTAAAGGTTAGGTCATATTAAGGAGTTGTAGGTTTTTATCCCAAATTCAACGGTGTACTACAATAAGGTTAATTGTAATATATATGCTAACTTTTTAATTTAATATTTAATATTTTCACTAATATTCAATATCATTTGACATGTAAAATTGTTTAAGAAGAGGTGTTTAAAATTACCTCCTTCCGCTTCAATACACACGTCAAACAGTACAAGTACAAGCGATTCCTTTCAAATAGCCCCATACAAAAAAAAATCCAAAGATTATAGCAAACGCGATCTTGTTGATTGCAATACCGCTATTATGTGGGGGTGCGCCATCTGGTTACCATACTATAAAATCCTCTTTCGTGTAAAGGAATATTTTCCAATAAGAAAAGGCCAAAATAACTGAAATATCTCCGAACACTTAATTATTTTTTTAAATATAGACCTATTAAACGCCTATTACATAACCCACATTGATTCCCTAACTTATTTGAAAGCCAGTTTACCTTTGCCATTGGTCAAGAATGGGGATTATAGCGATTTATAATTCCATTTCTGCAGCAATAGACCTTATAGATACATGTGGATTAAACGTTACATATGCTAAATCATTAAGTGTCATTCGGTCTGTATTGGTTTGATCTGTGATTTCGTATCTTCCTATTAACTATAGCAAAAGTTAAATAACACGGTGTTTTTCTTTCGGGCATGACTGTGTCATGTATAGTGCTTGAGTGTTTCGAATATTTTTTTCTACATTCATCATAAATTCACAACAAATTTATTAAATGTGAATAGGAAAGACTTCTTTACTATTGTATGATATAGGATATTTAAAATATATCGGATATTTTAAAATTTTGTTTTAAAACTATAACAAACATATTAGTAAGTAAGTTCAGGAGATGAGAATTGTTACTATCTATAGTTGTCAAAAAATAATTTAAATCAAATCTCAAGTACAAATTGCTTTTGTTTTGAAATTATATTCACAATGAGAATATGCTAGTTTAAGGTTAATTTGACGGAAAGGAAAATTGAGCGTAATTATTAACACTTATACCCCTATGGTGGTACAACGTTGAATTTAATATGAAAAGCCTTTCACACGTACAGAATATAATAGACAGAGCTGCAGCGATAACAACATAAAAAAAGATGATGATAATTGCAACAACAAATTGCTAACACCAAATTTTGTTAAAGGTAAAAAAACTTCTAAAAAAAATTAAAAAAAATGAAAAAATTGGTTGAATATTTTGAACAACTTCTAATTGGTCGAGGGTCATTCATCAAAACATTGAAATAAAGGAACAATTAACGACCGAAATAGACATATTCCGCCAATCCTTAAAGAAATTAGCAATGCTATAAAAACCCCAAACATCTACAAATCCCCAGTTATGGTCAATACTGATGAACTAATAAGAAAAGAGAGCCATGAATAATAATAAAAGAGGCCAGAAAAATAAGAAATAATGCCGCTTGAATCATGTAAGAACTACAAAGAAATTTCACATATCAAACACCTAAAGCAATGCCAAAAAAGTAAGTTGTAACGACTAGTGTGACTGCGTACCAGGAAGGACAATTCATTAAATATATTATTCGTGAATGATTGAATAGTATTGAAAGTATAATCAAGAGATACACCAGACTTTTTGAGTTTATACAGGTTTATGATTGAGTTAATAATCCGAAAATCATTGTTGAAAGCAACGGTTGACATGGGTTTGTTTTCTGCGTAAAACCTGAAGTAAGACAGAAATATCCACTGCTTCAATTGTTATTTAACCTGGCATTGGAATATGGCATATTTATGGGAAAATGTGCCCGAAGATTTAATCCGACGTATGTGCTTGAGGAGCAAGGATTGCTCCTGTTTTTTTTTATGATGTAGATGCGGTAGAGTAGTCAACAACTACTACTGCCCATAATATAAATAGGACAAATGATAATAGTATATTTATTTATATAATGTTTCTGGCTTTTGTAAATACAGACTATACTTTTGATTATTTACAACCTTCATTTTGAATTTTCATTAAAATAGTTCTTTCAAAAATCAACGTTACATTTCTATTCAAATAACAAATTCAAAAATAAAAAAATATATATAAATATTAAATAAAATTTAATTACCTGCCAATGTAATTATTATGATTGGGTATATAGTAATCGGTAAACACTATTTTCTTTGAAATAACATTGGTAAGATAAATCATTTCTTCAGTGCCTTCCTGTTGACAGGCGTACATAACCTTAGAAGTAACTGTCTTTGAAGTTTCAGATGTTCCATATGCAACAAGAGTGTATCCATAATTATTGGATTTGTATTCGTTGACTATAACGTTATTAAGATAATGGACCATCTCTTTAGAGGTATCGTTATCAAAAACACGGACAACATATTGATCCATGTCGCAAAATACGTGGATCCTGATCTAAAAATAAACGATATTTTTACCATAAAACACCGTAAAAAATAAGGCAGACGTAGAAGACTTGTACAAAAAAAGGAACAAACATACAATCATGACTAAAATTTAAAATAGAGTCAGAAAAGGACTTGTTTCCGTTTACTATATTTTTCGTTGTTGATAACTAGTTTTCCATTGTTATATGGTTATCAAGATCGAAAAATATAATAAGCAGAAACGAGTGTCTTTCTGACATAAATCAAATATCAAAGTAAGTATTATCAATCGTGTTTCCTAAAATTAACTAAAATTTAAAAAAAATTAATGGCATATAATACTTTGCTAAGTTAAGTTGATTGTTTTATGAAGTTCAAAATTTAATGGATTTACCTTATGTTGTAAGTTTTTGAGCTTGTTTTATACAATGTTTTTTTATGTAATTTCATTGTACACACACACAATCACGCGAGGCGATCAACCCTACCCCTAGGGACATGTGTATACCACTGTAAGAGTGGGATCCACATGTCCGAAAATCAAACCGGTTACACCTCACTAGTTGAGGTGGTACCTATCTGACCCCCAGGCTTTTCCTCCACCCCTCCTCAGCGTGTGACTTACGTGAGGAGGCTTATGATCTGAATGTTACGTAAGGTGTCTTAGGTAATGAGACACCTTCTGTTTTTAATTACTGTGGTTAGGCCACCTAACTGTAGGGGTAGCACACATGTCGGCTTTTCTCCCTATTTAACTTTACTGACTCTATAGAAGTTACTCTAGCTTTACTTCGGGACTCATGTCCCTAAAAAAGAGCGTGTGTTCCAGACAGAGAGCCATCGGTCTAGACCGACAGCTCTCTGTCTGGAAAAGAATGTGTGTGCTCGTTCACTCAGTCGCCGATTTGACAAAATAAAAATTTTGTTCTCCTCGCCGGCTGGGTGTTCGAGCCTGTGAGCCAAGTGAGTCCTAACCACCGAGCCCATGCTTGCCGCACATGACCTCGATGCTCAGAGTCCGCGTTTGATCAATATTTGATCTGCCTGAAGGGCCTGTGCCTGCTGGCTGGTATAGAGTGCCTGACGGGCCTTTTATACATTCTTATTTGTGTTATGTAAATTTTTGTGATGTAACGGGTGTTCTTGTTTATCTTGAAGATGACATGACATTAATTAGACAGTGAGCGATTTTTGTTTTTTTAAAAACTAAGTCTATCTATGCTAATACCTTAACTATGGAGTGTGTATTCCCAAGTGTATAACGCTCTCACACATTCCGTGTATATGTTTTTTGTGTTTTTTGTTTTCCCTATTCTAATCTAAACCTAATCTAACCTAAGTGTGCGTGTGGTGGGGTGTGCATTCCCGGGTGTATAGTGCCTGCACACACCCCGGTGTATATTGTTCTTATATACGTCTCTTTTAACACCTTTATCAACGTCTGTTTTGCTTTGCAATTTTTAGAAAGCACAGATAAAAGCAGAAATCTGAATTGTGTTTCGAAACTATTTTACGATTGTTAAATTAGATGTCGCTAGTGCGTCCGTATTCGAAGCCATGTTATTGTTGCTTCTTAAAAGACAGGAAATATTGATCTTTCACGTTGAGAACACCTTTGAATAACTGTTCTGATGAGACCTATTAGGTCGAAATACGTATCAACAGATACAAAGGCGCTGTTTGCGTGAAATCAAATATTTGCTGTCTTTTTCACTTTTTTCGGATTTACTCTGTACGAGTACAAGAAACTAATTCGCTAAGGATTTCTGCTTAGTTGAAAAGATGTGTCGTGGAATGCAAATTTTAGATTCCCCACGTCTCTTTTAACACCTTTATCAACGTCTGTTTTGCTTTGCAATTTTTAGAAAGCACAGATAAAAGCAGAAATCTGAATTGTGTTTCGAAACTATTTTACGATTGTTAAATTAGATGTCGCTAGTGCGTCCGTATTCGAAGCCATGTTATTGTTGCTTCTTAAAAGACAGGAAATATTGATCTTTCACGTTGAGAACACCTTTGAATAACTGTTCTGATGAGACCTATTAGGTCGAAATACGTATCAACAGATACAAAGGCGCTGTTTGCGTGAAATCAAATATTTGCTGTCTTTTTCACTTTTTTCGGATTTACTCTGTACGAGTACAAGAAACCAATTCGCTAAGGATTTCTGCTTAGTTGAAAAGATGTGTCGTGGAATGCAAATTTTAGATTCCCCACGTCTCTTTTAACACCTTTATCAACGTCTGTTTTGCTTTGCAATTTTTAGAAAGCACAGATAAAAGCAGAAATCTGAATTGTGTTTCGAAACTATTTTACGATTGTTAAATTAGATGTCGCTAGTGCGTCCGTATTCGAAGCCATGTTATTGTTGCTTCTTAAAAGACAGGAAATATTGATCTTTCACGTTGAGAACACCTTTGAATAACTGTTCTGATGAGACCTATTAGGTCGAAATACGTATCAACAGATACAAAGGCGCTGTTTGCGTGAAATCAAATATTTGCTGTCTTTTTCACTTTTTTCGGATTTACTCTGTATGAGTACAAGAAACCAATTCGCTAAGGATTTCTGCTTAGTTGAAAAGATGTGTCGTGGAATGCAAATTTTAGATTCCCCACGTCTCTTTTAACACCTTTATCAACGTCTGTTTTGCTTTGCAATTTTTAGAAAGCACAGATAAAAGCAGAAATCTGAATTGTGTTTCGAAACTATTTTACGATTGTTCTTATATACTATATTTTTTTGGTGCTCACTGTCTAATATACTCTGTAGTCGGCTCTGTGTCTATCTCTTTCTTCATTTATCCTTCTTCTCTATATCCAATAAGTTGTTGCTTTGGCCGTTTATGTACCGTTCTAGTGTTTATGTCGTAGTTTGTCAACTCTCTTAATATCCTGCTTGGATGATTTACGAGACCATTGAAAATGGTGTTTGCTCTTTCGTCCATTGTCCTTAGGATTCTTTTCTGTCCAGAGTCCCTGAATAAATACCTCAGTGGAACGTATTGAGGTAGGTTCAGTGCTTCTCTGATTATCCAGTTTTGTGTTGTTTGGATTTTCTTCCTATTCGTTTGACATGTGTGTCCCCATGCGGCAGATGCATATGTTAGGGAGGGTAGTATTATACTATTAGCTACCCTCATTTTTGTCTTAAAGCGAAGTTTGCTCTTTCTGCCGATTAGCGAAGAGAGTTGACTTCTTAGTGCTTTTGCTTTGTAGACAGTTTGTTTTACGTGTTCCGTGAAAGTGAGCTTTCTGTCTAAAATGACTCCGAGGTATTTGGCCTCGTTCGTCCATTCTACAGGGGTGTTTTCTATAGTGATTTCCCTGTCTGGTCTCCTTATTCTGTGTCTGTACATAACGGCCTGTGTCTTGTCAGGATTTAGTGCAATTTTCCATTTTATGCACCATCTTTGGAACCTATTCAGAGCGCTTTGTAGGTAGCTGGCAGCTAGGTTTGGATCTCTACTGCTAGCTGCTATGGCTGTATCGTCCGCATATAGGCTAACCATAGTTCTCGGGTCTGTCGGAGTGTCAGCTGTATAGATAGTGTACAGATAAGGCGATAACACCGCTCCCTGGGGCACACCTGCTTCCAGGGTCCCTAATTCAGATAGGGTTGAACCTATTCGAACTCTGAACCTTCTGTTAGCTAGGTATGACGCAAGAAGACATGTCATCGCTTCACTATAGCCTAGGTTGCTCATTTTATAGAGCAGACCTTGATGCCATACCCTATCAAAAGCCTTACTCACGTCGAGGAACGCCGTTGCTGTGTACATCTTTTCGTTGAAACCTTTAGTGATATATTCTGTCAGCCTTAAAACTTGTAGTTCACATGAATGTTCGGTCCTAAAACCGAACTGAGCTTCTGGAATAGATCCCAAAGCTAGCGATTCTTCGTTTAGTCTATGTAATATGACTCTTTCCGCTATTTTGCTTACTGATGATAGTAAGCTAATAGGTCTGTAGTTTTGTGGAAAAGTGCCGTCCTTTCCTGGCTTTCCTATCATCATAACATGAGCTTCCTTCCATCTGTCCGGGAAGTATCTTAATTTTAGTATACTATTAATGATGTTTGTGATGTATACTACTCCCTTTGTTGGTAGGTTCTTGAGTGCTCTGTTACCAATGTTGTCCGGTCCTGGAGCTTTTTTAGCATTTGTCGCTTTTATTAGATTTTTGACTTCTTCGGGAGATGTATGTGTTATTCCGATTCTGCCCTTTCTTCTTTTTAGCCTCCTGACTGTGTTTTCGACTTGTATAGTGAAGTCAATATCTTCGTGTGGATGTTCGTTGTTCCTGCATGCTTTTTCAAATTCATCTTTAAGGACTTCTGCTTTGTCTTGTTCAGTGTAGACAATTCCGTTTTCTCCGTGTAGTGGTGGGATGGGTTTCTTGTCTTTTCTTAACACTTTGGATAGCTTCCAGAAGCCGGATTTATTTGGATTTAACTCCTGGATATAGGATTCCCAGCTTTCACTGTTGTGGGCTTGTAGTTGCCTTTTCACTTCTCTGTTTAGCTCGTTTGCAATCCTTTTGTCTTCTTGTGTCCTTGTTCTGTAAGCTCTTCTTCTTTTCCTGTTTTTTTCTCGAATTAATTCTCTTAATTCTGGGCTGATATCTTTGAATCTTCCTTGTTTCGTAATAATTGGTTCTTCTTTTGAGCTGGCATCGATGGCATGGATTATGACTTGTTCTAATTTTTCCACACTATTTTCCAGCTCCATTATGTTATTAATAGTGGGTATCACACCGATGTTCTCGCTCACGATTCTTCTATAATTTGGCCAGCTGGTTATTTTCTTTTTTCGGGGCTCTAGTTGATTTATATCTATAGCTCCCAGGGTCAGTACGATTAAATTATGTGTTGAATCGCCTTCATTTAATGAATGTATTTCATATTGTTGACCCACGTTGTGTAGGATTGCAATGTCGAGGTGAGTTGGTTCAGCTACTCCGTTGTAGCAAGTTGGATTTGCTGGTCCTACCACATAAGTGTTGTTTTTTGTTTCGAGATAGCCACAGA